CTTTGGATTCCCCTGGATGTACGTGTTTGCTGGCTCTGACCTGGGACCGATACTGACCGTGAGTTTTTGTTTCCACCGTGTCTTGTATGGTTTTAGTTCTCTTAGTAAAGAGACGGTTTTGTTTTACACTTCCTCGTCTGGTCATTTAATTGAGTTCACAACACTTTTAGGCCGCATTACGCACGCAGTTTCTGACAGCTAGGTTGTCAGAATCGTCTGCCTGAGGATCTGGGAACAGCTGAAAACGTTCAGGTAACTTTAAATCTACCCCTTTAGCTAGGCTTTGGATTGGAACATTTTAAGGGCATTATCTATTGTTTTTTCATTTTTACTGTATTGATGTTTTTAAAAGTTTTATTTCTTCCAATATTTTATTTGTGATTGTCTTATCTGTTTAATCTATTGATTTTTTAAAATATAATATATGTTGCCTCTGAATTTAGTGGAGTAAAGGTATTAAATACGATGAAATACAATTCTTCAAGAACAAGCACCTCCAACATCTTAAGTACAGCGACTGAGTAAATGTGGTTACATTTCATCACTGAAAGAAAGTCAAAACAAAATGCACTGGTTTTACAGACCAGCTACATGATTAGGTCTTGACAAACAACACGTCATTAAAAGCCCCCACCCCCTTGTTCTCCTCTAGAATTTTCACACCTCCTGTTCTATAAAAGCAGTCTGCAGCCAAATTTCAGGTTCTTCTGATTGTAGCCATGAATCTGGCAGCTGCTCTGGTGCTGCTTCTCACTGGTAAGACTGTAGAAACCATCAATATGTATCAATCTTTTACAAGACTTATTGTAAAATGTGCATCTGTTTAAATACTCCTTGTGAAGTTCTCTCAATCATTGTTCTATCTTTCGCATTAGAAGTACTTATTTTCTCCTGAGCCACTCATTTTCTGTTTATCTACCTTGCATATCTTTATCAGCTCATGTGGCCAGCGGCAACGTTGTGCAGTTTGGGTTGATGATCAGCTGTGTCCAGCCTGGTGTTAACCCTCTAAAATACGACAATTACGGCTGCTGGTGTGGCTTCGGAGGGAGGGGAACTCCTCGGGATCAAGTGGACAAGTAGGAAGCAGGCAATTCTGCAGTTTCGGTTCCAAACCATTTTTAAAATAAGGTTGGGATATGAACTGTTTCCCCTGTTTTCTCAGGTGCTGTCAAGTTCATGATTACTGCTACAGACAAAGCAAACAAATACGTGGCTGCATTTCCTACACGAGTACACGAGCACTTATGGTCGCACCTGTTCAAATCGGAAAGCGACCTGCTCAGGTAAGACTGACTGGGATAAACTAGAGGCGCTTTGACACACTCATATACATAGACATCAGTCTTGTACTATTCTGAATGACTGTGAAGCTATGCCTTGAAGAAATTCTAAGACCTAAACTGGAAATGTTCTGAGATGACACTGGTCAAAATTACACATCTTGTAAAATTTTGAATCCTGCTTTTTGGAAGGGAATGAACACAAGTATATCTGTGTGTTTATAAACACAGTATTTACCTGAGTGGCACAGGTTTAAAAAAAAAAAGTATCTATATAGAAACAACTTTTTTTTTGGCTGGTTAACAGAACAACACTGATAGCATTCAGTGAATAGCAGAGTGTCACTTGACTATTGACAATAAATTTAAGACTGTACTTGTAACCTAGTGCATAGATATGCTATAAAGTAAGTAGCTGTGTTCAAACCAATATACATATGTGTATATACACACAGTAGGAATGACACAGTCAAGGACTGAGATTTGTTACCCACACTACAAAGCTCTAAGTGATAAGTACACAACCAGACTATTAGCATTATGTTTTAAGTGTGATCCATGTTTTATTATTCAGCAGCTACTCACTCACTGACTCAACTGTCTCTCCAGCTACCAACAATAGGTGCCAGGCTGCTGTGTGCGAGTGTGATCGGGAAGCAGCTTACTGCTTCGCTAAGGCCACATACAACCCTGGAAACAAGAACCTGAATCGCAAAGTCTGTTAAAATCCATGCCCCTTAAAAAAAAAAAAGAATGGTGGATTTGAAACATGTTTTCAAAAATTTCATTTATCGCTATGTATCAGTTTAACATAAGAAATAAAGTGAGACTCATGTTGCCTTCCAGCTGAATTTCTCCCTCTTGTCTATTTACATGCATATGAAGGGTTTTTGTGGCAGAGGCTCCAGCTGTGCTTTATCCTTGTACTTTAAAAACATATTTAACATTTAGTTTAATCCAATTTCAAGTCAGTTAATATGGAAAATTACGTGGTTTTTTGTTTTTGTCGTTTTGTTAATGAACCAACAGAAGCTTGGGTTTGTTTCTAGGAATTACCTTACCTGAAAGCAGAACGTTAGTTAAATGTGCTCAGTCAATCAACGTCATCTGGATTAAGTGAGCATGCAAAGAAAACCTCACTTGACCCCTGTTTTTAGGTTGTATGGTTGGATCAGACACTGTGCAGCAACTAAAATATCCACGAAGATACGACAGCTCAGACAAATGAGGAAGACCTTTTGGTCCATTTTCAACAAAACAATCCAAATATCAGCTGTGTACAACAACTGGATTAACAATACATATGATGTCAAAATAAAGAGGCTGGATCATGGTTCTTTGGATTATACTGGCTTGTAGAGAAGAGTGGTCACATACTACTTTTTGTATCGGTGTGTTGCACCGAGGACCATCACCCCGTCCTACAATACAAGAAGAGTATTTAGATCAGAATCAGCTTTATTGGCCAGGTCTGTTGGACACCCAAGGAATTTGACTCTGGCACAGTGGCTCTCAATGTGCATGTATATGTCCTTATGTAAGGCAGCAATGGGCAGGTGATCAACATAAGGCTGAGAGAACAGAAAGGAGAGAAAGTAATGTGTGAACAAGCAAGAGGAATGTACATTAGGAAATAAGTTCAAATATAATGTACTTAGAGACCTGTATATTCACACAGTCTAGGTGCATGCTAAGGGTCTTTATGTACAAGGAATATTTACAATTATTGCACTGAGGGTTATTGACCAGTCATACCATCATGGGTTAAGTGTTAGTGATGGCCTGGGGGAAGAAACTGTCCTTGTGCCTGGTTGTTTTGGCGTACTGTACAGTTACCTGTACGCCAAATACCAGATACCATTTTGTTCTCAACATTGTATACAGACTTGCCATATTTTGGAATATATCCGTTGTTCCAGATCGGTGTGGGATAAAATAATGTTCATACACAGCTTCTAACAGAACTTGCTGCTGAATGTCTACAGCCTGGTGCCCTTCTCATTCATTGATCTGACGTGTTGCACTTCAGCTGTAGGACGTTTGGTTCATGTCAACGCTACACTTTCAAGCCATATAGATAATGTAAACTGAAATTGCAGTAATATCAGCGCCTGTATTAACACTTCATAGTGACAGGCTGAATTGACAATGAGTGAAAGATGGTTCCGCTCAAAGATGCTGAGATGCTGCACGGCTAACGCTAGCTCAGCAAGGTCACTGTAAAACATAATGCTGTCAAAAACATACATCGAGTTAAACACGAGAAACTACAGTTACCTGACTTTTCGCCATGTCCAGCAGCAGGGGAGGAAAGCTGATGCCAGACTTGAGTCAAGTAAGACCTCTGCAACATCTAAGAGACGCCTCCGAAAGCTGCCATTTTCCTTTCTAAGTGAAGCGGAGACCGGAAGAACAGAATAAATGTGTGTCACGTGGAGACGAGACCAGTGACCTCGAGCAGTGGTGTACAAACTGTCACTGCTGAGCTTTAGCAAAAAAGATCCAAAATAAAGTGAAGAGACAAAACACAGAAAAACTGCACTTGAGCGAATGAAATGTGATGGTGGACGAAGTGTCTTGTGATTATAATTTCTCAGGAAATAATGTGTGAATCAAGCTATGAATCATCTATATATAACAAATTGTCAAGTTTACATTGGCTATGTGGTCCCCAGCCTTGGTTTTGTGACCCAATCATAAGATGAATCTGACGAATAAAATGGGTCACAATGTAATTAATTTAGAAAAACAGAAAAAGGTAACTACCAAAAATGCTACTTCTTTGGGTCTCTACAGCTTCTGTATGGAAAGGGAATGTTACATACAGTAGACACTGCTTGCATTAAGCAATCACAGTTCAAGGATATGGGGTAATCTGTTTTCACTTGCAGGCGTACATTTTCAAACTTCCAATATGGATGAAAAGGAAATCAATTTGTGCCTCAGGTAAATAGGCCATAGATAAAAGAGGAAGAGACTAACTCATACCTATTTACATCATACCTGCATATGAAACATTATATAATGACATATAACAAGTAAATAATTAAGATCCATTAAAAAGGTTTCCCGTATTTGAAATTCAGAAGTGTTTCTCTTTAAAAGGGAGGACTTTCTGCAGCCTCATGGTCAAAGTCCAACTAAAGAAATTCAGAAATATTCTGGTTGATGAAGGTGAGTGCTGAAAGTTAACTTTACTAGCGGTCTGTTTGTTCTTTTAATATCTATGTAGTTATTTTCAACACTCATAGATTTCCATAACTATGTTGAAATAAGCATTAACCCCTTTGCCATGTATGCTCAAATGACACCATGAATTATACGTTGAATAGTCAAGATATCAATCAAGAAAATGTTTGTCATAGTTTAAGTTAACAAGTTAAGAACAATTTGCTGCATATCTTTGAAAATGTTTATTTTGCATTATATCATAACACAATTCTATTGACTGAGCTGTTAATTGTACAAACATACTGTATGCGCCCTAAGAACAAACACAGGAGACTTAAATGACCTTTTATTTGTCATTGCACACTGAGAATCTCAATTTCTATATGGACTGAATACTTTGATTTTTAAGTATATGCTCTCACAAACTGCCATTGCAGTCAGAAAGAAAAATACACTGTACTAACAACATTAAAGGGTCTTAAAAATCCCTTCATCCAAATACGTTTCTCTCTCAGTAATGGAATCCCTGTATCACCAGTTTGAACCATCTGTCTATGGAGAGCACAAAGTGACAACACGCCCAGGTAAAACATACCCATGTCATCTGATTCTGAATTTTTTTTCAGGTGTCACCTTAAACTATGAAGTTTTGACTGTCATTATTTTTAGGTATAAAGAGCGCTGTGGCTTTTCTCCTCTATGGCATCCTGGTGCTACTGCTGTTAATCCTGCTAATGGTCATTGGGATAAAATGTAAACACATGGCACAAAAATAAAGCTGGTTCACTGATATAATGTTATATGATAATTATCTTATGGCATTTTGTTATCCCAAAGTCTCCCAGTTAAACAAAGAAATCACTGATGTCAAACTTTACCTTGAGACAATCAACAAGGGAGGAAAACCTTCCTCACCGGGTTCAGGTACAAATAAAAAATGTTTTAGCACTGATATAAAGATGTAGCCGTACAACTGATGCCATCTAACATTTTTTCTTGTTGCTGTGTTTGTGGCTTTCAGCTTTCCAAACCGAAGGTACAATAACTGTGCAGGATGTCTACTTACAGAAACTTCACCCAGTTAGAGGTAAAAACAAAACACTTTAATATCATTGAAATCAAAATTCAGTAGCCTCTCCCCAGTTTGACTGACTGACATGTTTTATTCTTCATCAAACCAGGAACATGTAGAGAAGGATGGGTGTCTTTTCAGAGAAGCTGTTACCTGCTGTCCACCACCGCTGTGACCTGGAGCAAAGCAGAGGAGCAGTGCCGAACACTGGGAGGACACCTGCTGGTTGTGAACAATGTGGAGGAGCTAGTGAGATTTGAGTTTCCTCCAGTTTGGCTCCATAGTCTAAGTGGAGCTGATTGTACACAGAGCATAGAAGAGGAGCACACCTACAGAGCATAACATTTCTCTGAATTAACAAAAGCCTTCTGTATTTTTAGGACTACATTTCAAAAATTGTTGAACTCAGATACAGCTACTGGATTGGACTTGTGGAGCGAGAACATGAGGGACACTGGAGCTGGGTGGATGGCACTGACTTCAATTCAACCCTAACGTAAGAAGAATGTGAAGCTATAAAAAAAAAAAAAAAAATTACCAAACCGCAAACAAGTACTAGGTAAGGGAAGTCATTTAATATGTGTAACAATTATTTCTCCCATTTCATCTGTTTATTTTCAGTTTCTGGGATATAGGTCAGCCTGATGACTGGGACTACAGTGAGAACGGAGAGGATTGTGGACAGCTTCACGCCTCTCAAATACGCAAACGCAAGATGTTGAATGATGCAGACTGTAGCTCTCCATACAAGTACATCTGTGAAACCAAGGCCTGAGAGGTAGTGGACCTCTGAGCTGCAGAAACCCATGACAGGCCAGACATGTTGGAAAAAACTGGGACAAATTAGAGCAATGAAATTTATATTTCTGATATCACCTTATAATTAAGTGTGTAGATCACAAAAACGGCTAAAAGTTGCATATGGCATACATCTGAGGTTTTGCTTCTAATAATTAGTTACTTTTCTTTATAAAAGAAACTGATGAGTACACCTTTTTAAAGAAGACACTCTTCAGTGTGCAAATCAGTTTCCGTCAGTTTAACTGCAGCAGTCACTGGAAACATTTTAATTGACTGATTAGTCATTTAGTCTATATAGGATGTCAAAGAATACTAAAAAATGTACATCACAAATTGTTTATAAAAATGACTTGTATTACTGATATTTCCCTCCACAGTTGTTGCTGATGAATTTTTGTTGACTATATATTAATTGACTATATATACAGTACATATATACATATATACGTCAGTATATCCAAATAAAAAAAACTACACAAGGTATTCTGATACATGGAGCGGCACAAACACAATTCCATTGACTTCCACTGTATTAGAGTAACAAGGCAAGTCTCAGAGACAGGCATCTAAGAAACATAAAACATATCAAATAAAGCTGAAAGCAACACAAGTATAGATAAGTCAGAAAATCCATCCATTCAATATCTATACTGCTTATCGTGTAGAGAAGGGGGTGGGCAATTAATTTCCCCAAGGGGCTACATGAGAAACTTTGACAGTTGTCCAGTCCCGGACCAATACACCTACAGTTCTGCCTAATATGTATCTCTTCATACAAACTGTAAATGAAACATTACGATACAATGAAATGTGGACAAAAGAATGCCACTATTTAATGAACATTCACAAAAACAGTTTCAAAAATGTGCAAAACTAGCATCCATTAACTACACAAAATATCAAGTATTTTAAAGACCAGCATCACATTAACTTCACAATAAAGCAATAAATGCACCCAGCATTGTCTGTTTGCTTTACCTCAGGTATTTGCTGTTGTTCAGTAGAGCAATCTAGCCTGTTTTAGGCTTGTACAAATCGACCCTTCTCGTTACATTTCGCCTGGAAAGGGGTACATTCACGAATGCTTCTTTTTTCCCTCTACGGGCCTGTTAGCGCTGCAGAGTCCACCGAACATTCTTTGACAAACTCCCCATCAGAGAATAGCTTGCTGTTTTTGGCAATTTTGTGGGATAACACAAAGCTCGTCTTGACTGCCGATGTGTGAGCTTTGGTTAAAAAAAAATCTTTGGTGCTTTTGCAGTTTAGCTAGCAAAGAGTCGGACCTCCGTGCCTGTTACGCATCAGTCAAGTCTCCTGATGGCGATTCAAATTATAATGATCCTTAAGCACCAATATCTGTTCTCCACAAACTAGGCACACAGCTTTACCTTTGACTTCAGTAAATAAATAGTTGGAAGTCAATACCTTTTTAAAAACACTGCATTCTGAATCAATCTGTCTTTTTTCCACACTAGCTGACATCTTTAAGGGCTAAAGCAAGCAGTCCAACACGTTAACCAACACATTCAAATGAGGGTGCCTAAGGTCACACGAGAAAAACCCTTAATTTAGCAGTTCGTTCAAAATAAAATGAGTGCAGTTGTACTGCATGCACGTATTACTGTAAAATATTTACACCGACTTTTAATTTACTGATGACTTCATGCGGGCCAGTTCAGGGACAAGAGGGCCGTATGGGGCCCGCGGACCGTACAATGCCCAGGTCTGCTGTAGAGGGACACAGAAGGGTTGGAGCCAATCCCAGTCGACACTGAGCGAGAGGCGGGGTACACCCTGGACAGGTCACCAGTCTATCACAGGGCTGAGACAGAGAAGGTCACACATGGTGACACAACCTTTCCATCTACAGTCATTTAAGGGGTATTATCCCATATAGTGTGTAAGTATACATACATTCTCATATACAGTATGCATACAAATACATGTGTATTTGTACTGCATGTTTCTTATGTACATATTTGGCTCATTATTTCTGTCATGTACTAAATACTATTCTTGATTTCTCTTGAATACGTTATGCTGTCTTGTCTAGGTATTTTGGAGTAGTTTTTTCAGAGATCCTCATGGCTGAAATACAGGTATTTCCCCCATTGTGGGATTAATATTCTTGTCCTAGATTTTTTGATCTCTCTCGAATACTATATTTTCTCTTGTTCTTGGGGTATTTTGATCTGTTCTCAGGAATTAATTGTGGGAGGATCATTCTTGTTCCCGATTGACTCACAAATACTATATTCTGTCTGGTTTTAGGTACTTTGGAATTTGTTTCTCAAGATAAGTGTGTGGTGTCTGTTCTTATGGTGTTTTGTTGCTGCTCTCTACTGCTGCTGGAACACAGAAATGTCCCCATTGTGGGATCAATAAAGTAGTACTTACCTACCTACCGTATTGTGGTACCATGAACACCCAACTTGCGTAACGTGCAGCAGAAAGTCATGGGAACTTTGTCAAGTGTCAGCTGTGTGCTGGCAGGTTATTTTGAATTCCACTTCTATCGGAAGAAGGAAAATGCAAACCAAACTAGGTACCAAGTGAACAGAAGGAATATAAACAGACTTTTAAACATTTGATTAGGAAGTTTAAAAAGAAAAGGGAAAAAACTGTAAAGATTTGAAAATGTAAAGTTGGCAGTGTTTCCTGTGGTTGTTCTTGAATGTTTATATCCTACACTGAATTTACCTGAAAGCTTCAGCTACTGAAGCATGAACACAAGATTACTGCTATAAAAAGAGCTGTTTATAAGGAACTCAACACAAACC